GCACCCTCGTTGCATCCTTTTCTCTAATTGCTTTTAAAGGGCAAGCTCGAGCGAGCCTCGACTCGGCCTTATCTATTGTAACTCGATATGAACATAAAAACTCGATATGAAGATAAAAACTAAGCCAAAATAATACCGATTTTCATGTCCGCCTGTCATCACTTTTTTATCGCGTACAAGATTTATGTCTCAATTTAGTTACACACAAATGTACTTGCACAAATGTATTTCATATATTTCAGTTACTTGCACACTCGTTTGTACGGTGTAGTTTCGAGCATTTTCTTTTTAAATTCGATTTATTAAAGGTGTACTTTATATATTATTCATATATTACAATTAAAGCAATCAATGTCATCTGTATAAATGTTTAGATATACATATATTCTTTTGTTTTTCAACTATAAAATATTGTTTTAAAACATTTTAACTATATCTTCTAAAAAATTATTTGCAGATTTTAAAAACACATTTATTGTTTTATATAAATAATTCGCAAAAAATGTTATAAAAAGACAATGCTTATTTAAATGAGAAATACGCTGTATTACATTTTAATCAATAAAAATTTTCATTGATTCAGTTTAAGATAGTATGTTTTATATATACAATTAGACAGCTATCTAGATTGCTTTTATCTTTCGGTCGACATTTCGCATATAAAAACGGAAATAAATAATAAGAAAGAGAATTAAGCAGTTATGTATTAATATGAACGCTGTTGCAAATCTAAGGAGCAGCAATTGTGATAATAATTATATAATATATACAATATATATAATATATACAATATAATATTATATATAATATAATTATTATATAATTTTCTCATTGTTATTTATTATTCTAACATCTCTGTGAATTAGATTTCAATTTTCCTTTATTAAAGAAAATGATCGTCGTGTATTTAATCTTTTATTCATATATTCATATAAATCATATATTCATATAAGTTTCATAATATTCATATATAAGTAAACATTACAATGAGAAAACAAATTTTTATTCTGAATGCTTACATACTTATTTCATACATGACGTAAAAATCGGAAGCGTTATAATGAATCAGATTACATTATTGAATGATATAATCAATTCCATATAAATTATATAAAATTATATATAATATAAATTTCTCTCTTTCTCTTTCATATATATAAATTATATTATATTATAAATTTATATAATGCAACCCCCTACGGGTACACCTTGACGCGGTAGGGTGGCTCAGTACTTGGATGGTGCCTTGAGGTTTATTTTAAATTTTTTTATTTAGGATAAATTTCAAGGAGCCTGAAGGGGAAGCTAAGTACCCAGCTCAGCATTACCACGAGTCGCACAATGGCTCATATGTGATGCGTTGGACGCATTGCGTCGTCGACTTTCCGTCGTCGGTGCCGTCAACATGTCGCGGACGGCGGCGTCTCGTTACCGCGTTTTCGCGTTTAAGTTTTCTCGCGTCATCATCGCGTTTTCGCGCTTCGGCGTTGAACTTTTCGTATAAAAGTTCCAATTTCATTTATTGTCACGAGTCTCTACTTCCGATACCAATTAATTGGGATGTACGGGTTTGCATACGTTGCTCTGCAACGTACACTCTTGCTTCGTGCTTCATCAAGTGATTCGGCCCGAATTAGTTAGAACTCGATCGATTGCTCGGAATGGTTGTCAATGGGTCCCTTCTCTTTGCTCCTCTACAGCTACACGCACTGCGTGTGTTAACCCTGTCGAGGAATCGAGTGGATTCTCCTAGGCGCGATTTTCGCTCGGTAAAAGGGGTTGCCTCCCCATTTTCTAAATTGCTAGTTGTAGCATTTAAAAAATGTGGGTAGTCTCTTCTTTTGCTGTCCACTAGCCTGGTGTAGCATATAGCAACCGCGGGAGGCATAATATGTCCGGGCGAAGCACCTGAAATCGTGTTTAGCGGGTCCAGGTTCGATACGAGATAGGATAATTATGCGCGAAAAAGAGTTGGGGAATTTCATTTTTCTCTATTTCCGTCAATCGTTTCGTCTTCTTTCCGGTTTAGGCTTAATTCTTGCTCGTTGTATCGTTGCATTCCCGACCTATTGACCTGAAGTAGATTCTTGTAAGTGAAATGGGATTTTCGCTCGTACCGAAACCAGCCGTTAAATGTATATACATATTAAGTATATACATCGCGCGATCAAATATAAAATTTATAATCGCATCGAAATAGTGCGGGAGTGCTGTTCAGTGTCGCGCGTAAAATAACGAAAATAGCGATATAAAAATATCGCTCGTGAGTGCGGGAGTGCCGAAAAGTATCGCGCGTTTAAGACTGAGAGGAGGAGGAGGCCTAGGAGAGGCATCGGGCTCCGGCAGAGCAATCTTCTGGTAAATAATTTCTTTATTTGTAATTATATATTAAATATTAAATATATTTATTATAATTTAAATTAAACAGTTAATCGCGTAATTTAATTTTTTATTTATATAATTTAAATGAGAGAATTTTGAAGAAAAAGATTTTTATATAAAATCTATAATCTTATAAAATTAGCTATATATAAGCTTTTATAAAGTATTAGAGAATTATTAGTAATGTCTTTTTCTAAAATTTATAGAATTATTTTATTAATCTGCTATTATTATATGTATTGAATGTAAAATTCAATACATGTAATAACTTTTGAAATATTAATTATTTGGATGTTATTACAATTTAAATCTTCTATTTCTTATAGATCAACCTAACAATCCTGATGATCTGAGAGGAGGCGCAGGTCTAGGAAAGGCATCCTGCATCGGCGGAACAACCTGATGGTGAGTACTATTTATATTATTTATTTGTATTAATTATTATATCGCGTACACGTACTAATTTGAGTCATTTATTTGAATAATGAAACAAGAAAGATTCAAAGAAAAAAGGTTGTATGTAAATAATTCTATAAAACTTTCTATTTAAAAAAATAGGTTTTTCAAAATTTTAAAAATTATTACAAATTTATGTATTTGTTTATTATTGCACATATCGGATATAAAATTTGGTGCGTACAATAATAATTAAATATAATGAAAGATTAATTATTTTAAGAGCTGCTAAATATATGAATTTTATATTTGTATGTTACAGACAACGTAGCTTCAATATTGACAACTCCGCTGTTGCGCATCAGTGTGGGTGAGTGAAAAACTTTTATTTAATTTTAAGGTAACGGATTTGTGTAGAGCTTGTAGATTGTAGATTGTAGGTCCGTTACCTTAAAATGGATGGGCTAGAACAAATTAAATCATATAATTTTTGAAAGTTTTTTTTCAATATACATTAAAGATTATTAAAAATGCAAAATTGAAATTTTAATTAAAGGAAAATTTCATTTTTTAATTAATTTTACATTATAATCAATTATTTATTTTATTTAAAATAAATAATATACATAAATACAAAACATAAAGAACATACTAATAATTTTATTTTTTAATATTATATAATAATTTACTTTTATAATGCATACTGACATTATTTTAATTTTTTATAGTCCATCATTTTTATGTAGTGTAACATATTAAAAAACTTTGCTTTAATTGATATAAATCTAAGTAAGTTATCAATCTATTGAACCATATGTAATGTTTCAAAAGACCAATGAATGGTATTATAGAGTAAAAATATAGTAGAAAATATATAAATAATGTTGAATTAATTTATTTTAAATCTTAATTTATTTTAAATTATCGTAAATCTTTATTATAAATTTTTTATTATAAATAATATTATATATTGTAAAAATTGCAATTATTTAATTTTGATTAACTTGACACTATATAGCGTTATATTAATTAAAGCAAAGTTATATTAAGACGAAAACGAACAGTCATAATATTACGACTGTAATAAAATTATGCTCATGTACCGGTGAAAATAAGTAACCGGCAACGGAAGGAGTTTTTCTCCTTCATTGACCTATGATACTGGTCAAAGCTTTTTTGTCCTTGGCTAAAAATAGCCAAATGCCTGAATATTCAAAAAGTTAATCTAAAAACGTGCAATGACATATAATAAACGCGTGCGTAAATTAAACGAATAAACTAAACGGGTACGCATAAAATAAATAATAACATATAAAAATAAATTCAGAAACTCGCGAAAAATAAAGAAACATAGCGTTCGTGTAACAAAATCCTAATTAAGACATTCCCCAAATCTAAAAAAATCGCATATTTCCGCTGGTTTAATTTGCAGAGCAATTAGGGCTGTTAGGATCATTGAAATTATTGAAATCGTTAAAGTTGTTAGGATCCCTTAGTAGGATTGTTAGGTAGGATCATTAAGGTTGTTATGATCGTTAGGATTGTTAAGATCACTAAGGTTGTTAGAATCACCAAAATTGTTTAGAATGATTAGGATTGTTAGGATTACTAGATATAATATTTTATATAGTAGGATTATCTATTTATTATAACTTTATTATATTATAATTTATTATACTTAATTTTAATATACTATAAGGCTTATAGAATATTAAATTTAAAAGTTATAATGTAAGATCAAAAAATTATATATCATTTTTACAAAGCTATACAATCAAGATAAATGTATAATGTTCTACATTATTCTTGATTTTTAAAAATATTTACATTGCATATATAATGCGAATTATATGTAATGTGAATGTTTAATAATGATTATGTTATATAACCCTATCTGCATTAGTATGCATGTTTTGGCTATTTAAAGATTTGAAGTATCACTATGTTGAAATTCAAGATAGAGAGATTTTGAAATTCAAAATAGAGAGATTAAGCACAAAAATCTAATATTAATTTTCAAAAGTAAAATTAATTTATAATACCACAATTAATTGCCGTTGCTGATCTACATGTCTCTAGAAGATATGATGGTACATGTCCGTATGAAAGAATTACGAAATACTATTTAAAAATCTGTTCGGACTCAACATTCATATCTTAAACAATTATATCATGACATATATCATGAGTGATTTGAAAATTATAAATAGCGATACATCAAGTGGTGTCGATATAATTTATTTCCATATTGTAACAATGCACTCGCCAGAATATAGCATTCTAATAAAACAGAATAATACGCCCTCCGGCCGTATCGATACGGAAGTCTGCCACCCAACGAATACTAGTCGAGCAATTGGTAAAGCGCATTACGCCAATTTTTCAAACATTTCAAACAATCAATAACGGCAATAACATCGTCGTGAATATTCGAAATTCGCCGAAGGTTACTAAATCAACGACGAATTAAGCGCTTCAGCTTCCGCTATCGTCGTTCGAGGGAGAAATCGAATTACGCTAATGCGGATTATTAGCTAGTATAAAACAGGACTTTTGGCAGTCCGAACAATCAGATCTGATTCTATCATCGCTCTCGCTAATGAACAAAATCACTTATTCGAATCCTATTGCTATTTATTACGAAGACAAAGAATGGAATGTACTTCGCTTCAACTGAGACTTCTCGGTTTTCCATTTGTGCAATATTCCGAAATTTTTACCGCCGCAGAATCGGAACACACTACGATACAAAAGCATTCTCAGTCAACCGGCATCTAATATCCGCATCACCGATACGTGTCATTATGTCTCGTGATGGAATAAATCGCTATTTCCGCCAAGAGTTCTCGTCCGACGCATATTCCCCGCGTATATTGTTTTCTAGCTCACGAACATCCGCGCCTAAATTAATTATATTCGCATCGCAAAACTATGCATGTAAAATTAATGCTTAATTAAAAATTATTTTAACATTGTAGTCACTCTTAATAACTGAATAAGCGCCCATTTGTTGATACACGATCTAGAGAGTCCTTTTATGGTACAAAATGTAAATATTAAAGATCAAAAGTCGAATCGAACGAACTTTTTACGTGGCAGTTAGTTATTTCGTAATAATTGATCTTTTTCTATAGAGAAGTCATCGTTGAAGTAGCGCTACGATTGTTTGAAAATGTAATAGCATGTTAAGTTGCTGAACATATTCCACAACTTTGACAACCCAATCGCTTGAGGAACAACTGCCTAATCTTTTTCTTCCATACAAATATAATGAAAACGTAAAAGTACTGTATAACGTCCAACGAAAAGAGTATATACCGAATAGAATATAATGTATCATTATCATACAACACATTTATGTACGTTTTTATGCACATGATGATGAACAGCATTTTAGTTACATCTAGCTGCAACTTAAACCTGCAAAATTGAATAAAATAATTAAATAATTGAAAATAAAATATGTATACGTGTATTTACGATTATTTTGGTAATTATTAATAAATTTATAAGGAAAAAATTTAAAAGTTATCCACATTTAATGAAGAAGAATTTTCAATAAATAATTATTAATCAATTATTTCAATTTCAAATATTTTTAAAAAATATAACTATATAAATATATTTTTAAATGCTATATTAATAAAATTAAACTACAAATGATGCTAATTTTAAATTTAGAAAAATGAAAAGAGAAAAATATAAAGAAAAAGTACCAAGATTTTATTAAAAAATTTTTATGAAATGCGACGATTATCCTTATGAAATAAAAAAAATCACAAACTCGGTTTCCTTTTTTAGACTTTATTTTTACCACTGTTTATCATTTTTATGGAAATCGCCAGTTTTCTGAAGAAAACGCCAGTGTAATTAAAGTGAAAGCATGTTTGTTTCTTTAAGAGTAATTATCAAAAAATTAATTAGAAATTAGCAAGTAAGAGCCAATAAGTTACGATAATTGGAGCACAAGATAGAAAGAAAACACTTTCCTCTTTTTTAGTATATGTGTAATTATTATATATTAATTATATATAGCTACATTTAACATATTTTGATTTAACTCATAAACATAAACGTTTCGGATCATTTCTTGAATCCATTTTCAGCGGAACATTAAAAATCATTCGAACGTTCCAAATTTCAACCAGCTTACATAAAATTAAATTATTTCGATATCACTTCAACAATCAATAAGCAAATGCAACTGTTGTATCTCGCAATGATCTGGCGAGCAGATGTTCATAAACAATTCTAATATTAATGTAATATTAATGTCACGCTGAAAATGGATCAAAAGATGATTCGAAATATTCGTGTTTAATGCATATATTGTAATGAGTAATTCGAAATAAATTAATTCGAAATATACTTGCCAATTTTTTAATTAATTTTTTGATTATTATTATTTAAGGCAATTTTTACTTCAATTAAGTATGATTATAAATTTTTATTTATTAATATCTTAGAATATATAAGTTATTAAAATTATCATGCATTGATGTAAAAATGTTATTTACCATTGTTTTTGGTCATTATAACGTTGCTTTTCTGCAACATTGCTCAGGTGATGAGCAACGTTTTTTTCGAAATATGCGATTTTTCGTGCCGTAAAGAAGGATAAACAAATGTTACTGGTAACAGAGATAATTATAATTCCATAATAATACAACCAATATGGTAAACTGCCTGAAAATGTAATATAAAAATTGAATTTCTTATTGTTTCTCATATTAAACCGAGTTTTGCAAATGCATCAAACATATTTTTTAATTTCAATAAGAATTTAAATTTATTATTATGTTATATTATTTTTATGTCCTAACATAAAAATAAAAAAACATAGTGTTTTAATTAAATTATCTACTAGTGCAGCATTCACTTACCAACAATCAAACAATTGTCGCCAAATTTAAGTTGAAAGTTATTTGGTATAACAAGAACAAAATGTAGGATACTATAAATAATAATGATCATAAAAGAGATTCCCCATGCATAGATAGAATATATGATTAATATTTTCTTCTCTTCTTGTTTCATCATTCCTTCTGACGAATTTAATTGTCTGCGAAATGTAATTTACGCTTTACAATTAGCCGGCAAAAATAAAAGAAATTACAATGTAATTAAACATTAATATAAATGCATTTGATCGAGATTTTTGAGAAAATAACTAATTCCATAAATAACTATAAAAATTGATTTTCTTTATTCAACACTACGATATGACAATATATCGTTGTAAGTAAATGTGAATGTACTTATATATTATAAATGAATAATTTGTATAGTATTTTGTACAATATAAATTAATCTTATATAGATTAACAAATTTATAATAATTTACATTATTAATAAAATATATATAATACGGAATAATAAATAAGATATATAGAAAACTTATAAAGCAGCTTACCTAAATGTACGCCAAAAATTGAAACTCATTACATTTAACCAAAAATAACTTCCGAAAAGGGCATAATATTTGACAAAAGCTGAAACAATGAAATAAACAATATGTCAATTAATAAGTTTTTATTAAATGCTGAAATAATTGTATTACACAACTATATTATATGTGGTTGTAAAAAATTAAATTATAAATAGTGAATTAATTTATTGTACTGCAAATTTATAAAAAAAAATATATTTATTATACATTTATCATATGCTAACTAATAATTTCTTAATGTAAGGCATAATTCTGTAAAATTTTAACAGCATGTAAAAATGTATAAATAACGAATAATTTTAACGTAATTTTAAAATATATCAAATATTTTTATGTAATTTCAATTATTATTCTTTAAAATTATATAAATTGCAAATTATATATTCAAATTATCAAAAAAATATTAAACCGCCAATTTGCATTGCCATATTTCTAAAAGATTTACATACTGCACGGTGTGTGTGCTTTTTTATAAAATTTAAATATATCGTACCAAATATGATATAGATGGAATTCCCTAAAGCATCCTTTTCGATTAGTGTGTTTATCAACGAAATCGTGTACGCAACGAATATCAATCCACTATATATACGCAGTATAAAGCCATATATATTTCGAAGTTCTGGCTGTATGGAGTACACTATGAACATCATCAATGAAGACAGTATAACTCCTAATTGGCCGCATGAAAATACGATCATAATTGAACTAATCGGAAAGAATACATTTTTTCCTTTATGGCGTATAGTCTCATTCGTGATTTTCTTCATAATGTTCGAACAAACGTTCACAATAAATTTATCTTGAGCTATGTTAGCGAGGCAATAGGATGTTGATTCAATGATTGTGTTGTAATGAGATAGATACAAAGAACCATTGGCGAGAAAGAAAGTGTTGTAAGGATTAAACCAATGATATCCAGTCTTCTGACATGGATTGTGGACAATCAGAAGAAATAATTCGTTTATCTTTTTATTTTCATTTCTTGATGAATCATTAATGTATCCAAACATTTTTTCGAGGAAAATAAAGTTACCCTGTTGGGCAATGCATTTTCTTTTGTCCAGGCGACTACCGAAAGGACAACATAACCGAATGCAGGTAATATTGTCGCACATCTTGTATGGAATGATATTACTTTTATTATTAACTGTATTAGAGTTTTTAAAGTATTCGTGCGACATGTACTTGTTTTTGTGCTCGTCGATGTGCTCTAAGTTTTCATTTGTATTAATCGGATAAATTATATCTTTATTGTTATTTGTAGTTTTACTTATGATCTTCTTCATAATCTCAAAGCAAACGTTCACAGCAAATATATTGTAATCTACGACCGCAAGACAATAAGATGTTGGTTCGACAATTGTGTTGTAATCAGGTAGATACAAAGAGCCATTAATAAGAAATTTATTCTGTATTAAGTAAGGATTCATCAAGTAGTGTCCAGTTTTCTGACATGGATCGTGAACAACGAAGAGAAATGCATCATCTACTTTTTCACTTTCAGTTTGAAACGAATCATTAATGTAACCATACATGTTTCGCAGGAAAACAAAGTAACCTTGTTCAGGAATGCATTTTCCATTAACCAGACGATTACCAAAAGGACAGCATAGTTGAATACAGGTAATATTGTCGCACATCTTGTATGGTATAATATTAATTTCACTGTTACCTCTATTGAAATTATTAAAGGAATCATACGTAGAAAGATCATTATTGCCTTTGATCCTTTTTAAGTCATTAAGTTCTTGTGATATAAAATTTCTTCTGCTATCAAACTCTGTTGTATTACGAGAATTCACCGATATTTGACTATCATTCTCATGCGCTTGAGATTTATATTGCGTGAAATCATCAATCATCAATCGCTCGTGATTATTATTCGTGAAATTGATGCGATACTCCATATCATCGTTATTTTTAGTAAAATTTTCATGCAAATTATACCAATCTTCTCCATCATCATAATTTTTCATAGTATTTGCATTAAGTTGATATTGTACCATTGAATAATCTTTTTCTTCATTGTCACTCGTGAAATTTGACCAAAGTGCCGAAGATGAAGCAATGATTGGAAGCATGCAATAAAGCGTGAGACTTTTTCCATACATCATCGATTATTTAACGTGTTGAATTTACTTATGAAAAAATATTCTTGATTCTTTTTACAATACTTTTACGGGTATCTAACAGCCATAATAATATATAAATTAAAAAGTTGAATAATATTGTAAAATTGTAAAAGATTTTATGATGGTTACTTGCCGCGAAGAACGAATTTTTCGCAACAAACTTACGATTGCACTTTTGAAAAAAACAATGTCGATGAACAAATATTTCGATAATTGAAATTTAAAGTATTTAAAACGGTGACAAAGATGTATTATTAGTTTACTCCTGTTAGTCTTACTATTCTGAAATTTATGATTTTTGTTATAAAATTATGAATTTTATTTTTTGTAAAAGCTTATAATTTATGAAAATTAAGGATATCTAAAATTTATGATTTAAGTAATGCTTCGCATAAATTATATTTACTTCCATTTATTTATATGGCTTTATTTTTAGAGTTTTCAAATTAAATTTAAAAATTTGTTATTGTTTACACTGATGCAGTACGAAGATACAGTAGATTTTTAGCTTTTTTCACTCAACTAGATGAAATAATTATTATATATATTTAAGTTATTATTTTTATCTTTGACGTATAAAGAGAGAACATCGTACGAGATACGCAGTAAGACTATCGGAGATGACGACTCGTCGAAGAAGCGGTCTGCGTGCTTTTGTAATAGTATATATATAGTGTGTCAAAAAAGTTTTATATGCAAACTTCTATGGATAGTATTTTGGTTAATTCAACGACAAAAAAAATTTGAGATATTTTATTATTTAAACATTTCATCCTTCGATGATAAGTCGTTACAGTTTCGAAAAATTTACTAAAAATAGATTTATACACAGATTAATTATGCGATTAGCTTATGCTCGAACAAAGAAAAATTTTACACCAGATGTTTATACACAGTCGAAAATCTCTTAAAAGAAAAGGCCGATAATATAAATATAACAGAAATTTTATATATTTCGGCAACAAATTTCTTCCGATTTTATTCATTATCTTTTGATTTATAAAAGAAATTTATTGCAAGATCTTATTCAGATTTTTATTCTACTCTGTAGATAATGATATCTACTAATATAAAATCAGATAAAGAAATATTATTTAAAAACCAGTTGGTATTCTGAAGTTTTACATAGATTGCATCATTAACATCAAGGAATAGTGTTGTTATGTAATAGTGTTGTGTTGAAGTTATATAAACAACAAGATACATCATGTATAAAGTTTTTAATTGTGAATGTCTTAAATTTTTAGATCTCAGGTCCATAAGAATTTCACAATAATGAAGAATTATTATTAATAATCAGATATTGTGTTCAATTATATATATATATATATATATATATATATATATATATATATATGTTTATATTTGTTTATGTCGTTACGAAGGAAAAGAAAGAAAGAGAAAATGATGATCGACTTTAGGTTCTAGTTAAAAAAAAGAGACATTAACAAAAATTATAATATTATATTGCGAATTCGACAATATAAAAAGAGCTATAAATTTTACAAAAATATAGACTATAATTTCTGGTGTATGTGTGTATTGAACTTATATAATATTATAAATAAAATAGTAGTTCTCAGGCGAAATGTGACATGATTTAAATTTATATATTTCCTACATTTTATTAGAACATATTGTTACCTGACATTACATTTACATATCTTTGTCTAATGTAATATATATTTATATATTATGAATGAATAAGAATACGTCCACATATGTGCGTGCGTGCGTGTGTGTGTGTATGTGTGTGTGTGTGTGTGTATAGCAACTTACCTAAATGTACGCCACATATCGAAACTTATTACATTTAACCAAAAATAGATTCCTAAATAGGTAATATTTAACAAGGTAATATTTAATAAGAGCTGAAAAAATGAAATAAATATGTTAATTAATAAGTTTTTGTAAAATTTCAGTGAAATTCATATTATATAATTGTAAAAAATATTATAGATTTGTAAATTAATTTTTGTACTGTAAATTTATAAAGAGAGAATGTTAGATTTTAAGTATGCTAATGCTTAATTTAATAATTTTTTTATTTTAATGGATAAATCTGCGAAATGACAGTATCGAAAATTTATAGTTAATTTGATGTCAAAATACATAAAAAATTTTAATTTTATATACTTATTAAATCTTGTGGTTTTGGAATTTTAAATCATAAATTACATATTAAAGTCATTAAAAAGAATTAATCCGCTAGTATACACTAATAACTGTAACAGATTTGGATATTACATTGGTTATTTTTACAAAATTTTGACATGTTACCAATAATAATACAAATGAAGTCTTCCTTAGCTTCCTTTCTGATTAGTACATTTACCAATTCAATTATGCATCGAGCAAATGTCAAGCTGCTGTATCTACATAGTATAAAATCATATATATTACGAAGTTCTGGTATTATGGAATACACTATGAACATTATCAGCGATAGTAGCATAATTCCTAATAAGCAGCATATAAATATGATTGTTCTTGTCTTTATGATATCCAAGCAAACATTCACAGTAAATCTGTTTTGTGCCACATTAGCGAGGCAATAGGATGTTGATTCTATGATTGTATTGTAATAATCTAGATACAGTGAGCCATTAAGGAAAAACACATTCTTGTTTAAGAATTTATTGCTGTAATATCCAGTTTTTTGACATGGATTATGAACGATTAAAAGAAATAATTCGTCTGCGCTTTTACTTTCATTTTGCAATGAATTATTAATGTATTCATATATGCTATGCAAGAAAATAAAGTTACCCTGTTCGGTAATGCATTTTCCATTGACCAAACGCTTACCAAAAAGACAGCATAGTCGTATACAAGTAACATTGTCACACATTTTATACGGAATGATATTATTTTTATCGTCATTTCTATTTCTGGAATTTTTAATGAAATCGCGCGATACGGATCCGTTCTTGCCTTTAGTGTTCTTCAAGTTTTTATTTACATTAATCGGATAAATTGTATTTTCATTGTTTGTAGCTTTATTCATGATCTTCTTCATAATGTCAAAACAAACGTTCACAGCAAATATATTATATTATAATCTACAACTGCGAGACAATAAGATGTTGATTCGACAATTGTGTTGTAATAAAGTAAATATAAAGAGCCGTTGGCGAGAAAAAATGTGTTGTAAGAAGGATTGAGCAAATAGTGCGCAGTCTTTTGACATGGATCGTGAACGATCAGAAGAAATTCTTCTACTCTTTTATTTTCATTTTTCAACGAATCATTAATATATCCATACATGTTTTCCAGAAAAATAAAGTTACCTTGTTCGGCAATTCCGTACATACTTATGCATTTTCCGTTAATTAGATAATTACCGAAAGGACAACATAGTCGAATGCAAGTAAAATTGTCGCATATGTTGTATGGAAAGATATTATCTGCTAGCATTTGATTATTATTCTCATTCTTTTCAGCATGCGCTCGAGATTTATATTGTATCGAATCGTCATGCTCATGGTTATTTGTAAAATTAACACTATACATGTATTGCATATCATTATTATTTTTGGTAAAATTTTCATGAAAATTATACCAATCTTCTTCATCGTTCTAGTTTTTCTTCTTTGTCATCATAGTATTTACATCAAGTTGATATCTAATTGTTGAGTAATTTTTTTCTTCATTGTCACTCGTAAAATTTGATCCAAATACTGAAAATGAAGCGATGAGTGGAAGCACGCAATAATAAAGTGCGATACTTTTTCTACACATTATCGATTATTTAATGTGTTAAATTTACTCGTGAAAAGTACTCTTATCTTCTTTTTACGAAGTTTTATGAAGTTTCAAACAAATATCTGACGATCGTCATACGTGTGATTTTGTAAAATGAAAAAGATTTTACGATATTTACGATTTTATGATATTATGCAGCAAAGAACGAATTTTTTGCGACAAATTTACGAATGCATTTTTGAATAAAAACAATGTCGATAAAAACAGATATTTCGTTAATTTAAGTTCTCCAGCATTTGGAATATTATCAAAGAGATTTGTTTATTCCAATTTCCTTAGTTTCATAATATTGAAAAATTTACTATTTTTATTATTTTATTAAATTTTGAATTTTACTTTTTGTAGATGATTGTAGTTTATGAAAATTGTTGGTATCTGAAGTTATGATTTAAATAAGACGTCGCATAATATAAATGTTCACTTCCATTTATAAGGCTTTTTAAATTAAATTAAAAATTGTTTGTTTTAACACTGATAAGAAAATGATAGTAATAAGTTTTTAACTCTTTCACTGAATTCGATAAAATCGATATTGTATCTTTAGTCATTATTTTTATTTGTAAGATGTACGAGAAAAGATCGTGCGAAAAACGCGATGAGACTACAATGGAATCTGATTGTGAAATGAGGACTCATCGAAGAACTGATGCTTTTCAAGAAAACTTAACAACTACTATTTAACTTCAGTAATTAAAAATAGATTCACATGCGGTTAGCTAACGCTTGAAAAAAGAAAATTTTTTGTTTACTTTAGATGTTTATGCACAGTCGAAAAACTTCTTCAGAAAAGCAAGAAGTTAATGTTATATATACTGCAAAAATTTTATTTATTTTGATAACAAATTTCTCTTGATTTTATTCATTAGGTTTTTGATTTAAAATAAATCGAAATATGGAATTAAAAAATTAGATTATTTCGAATATATCAAGTTATTCATTAATATTTTTATTCCACTCGATAGATAATGATGCCCACTAGTGCAATACCGGATAAAGACATATTATTCAATAAACCAATTTGCATTCTGAAGCTTTATGGATTACGTCAAGAGTTACATCATTAACATTAAAAAAACACGATAGGTATCTCCGACAAAGTGACAGACAGTAATAAAGATGAGTTATTATATAAATTATATATATATATATATATATATATATATATATATATATATATATAATTTATATAATAACTCATCTTTATTACTGTCTCTATTACTGTCTCTATTACTGTCTATAAATTATATATATATATATATATATATATATATATAATTTATATAATAACTCATCTTTATGTAATAAAGATGAGTTATTCATTCACGTGCAAAAAATAGAATAAATATTACCGATGTAATTGATAATAACACAAGCGCATAAATTAAACTTTAGTGCTGATATCTGTTTACGCGATGCGCAAAAAGATTCAACCTTAATAGAAGCTAGAAGTGTGTAGTGGAAATATACAATGTATAGACGAATTACATATACCTGAGAGCGTATGCGAAATAATAGACTAATTATGTAACACGGTAGGCGGATGATCTGAACTTCATGCCTTCGATAAGATAGGAAACAGCATTTTTATAATATTTCTTACACATCATGTAAGATTAAAGAGATCATCAAATTATAGTCTTATTTTTTTTACAAATTATTTGATCCAAATAAGATCAAGTCGATAATAATAATGAGAAGTTACATACGTGTTCTTTCCACTTATCTGAAATGTATTAACTTGATTAATTTTATTTCTGTTGATTAATTTTATTTCAAATTTATGTAAATTATACATTTTTTTCGCAAAAATAAAAGACGATTATTTTATATATATAGTTAGTTCCACAAAAACTCTAACACATGAAATATTGTAGTGTGAAAAAATTAATAGAAACAAGAGAAATCAAATCTTCAAAAATTAAGAGTAGGGGACAATAATTCTGGACACTCCAATTCATTGTTTATCGCAGTTGATATTGATGTTGTATAAATTTATCATATGGGCATAATATTTCGCAACCTGCGTTTTTCTATTAATATTGATGGAATGCCTAAATAATGTACCACCTATAAGAAATAAATTTCATTTGTTAGTTGTAGGCGTTAATGGCAAATATTATTCGTCCCACGCTACTGACAGGCACGTGGTACTGACAGACGAGAAATTAAACTTACTTTAACAAAAAACTCGCCATTCTTTTCATGCAATTCTATCATAATACTGCTCGTGTACCGTGGAACGTTCTCATAGAATATATTTAAAGCGTGCATTATAGAAATCACATTTATGTCATGTCCAGAAAAGAGATTGAGCTTACGATCTTTCAAAGTTCCATTGATCACTTCATTCATATCGTTAATTATTCTGCGTAATAATACACCTGTAAAAAATCACATCTGGTTGAATATTTTATATAAATTGTTGAAAATATAAAAATACATACACACACACACAGACAAACACACATATATAGATATGATATATATTTGTTAATGTATATGAACGTTTTATATTAGATAACACACCAAGATATGCACCAATCTTTTATATAATAATAAAATAATTTATAAAATAATAAATTCAATTTTCTTCTCAATTAGAATTTACTTGGTAATTATCTGTATGCTAGAAATCTAAAACGGTAATTTAAAATGCTTTTATTTACACCAAACAATATATTTCTCACATATTTTAAACATATTGCAATAAAAATAACTATTTTTTAAAGACTTATAACGTTAAAAGCAGTTATTTTTATTATTTTTATTGTTAATATTTTTATTATTATTTATTCCAGAGAAATGAAAGGTAATAGAACAAGTGAATTTATAGCCAAATGCTATATATATGTAATCAAAATATATAATATTTAATCGAAGATTAATCTTTAATACTCTTTACATAGATAATTTATAAGCAAAATATAGGTTTTTGATTCAAACATACCTCCACTAAATTTATTTAGTATGTCGTAACTTAATAGCTCAAATTGTGAAACAGTGGCATTCATAAGTGCGCCATTTGGAAATAAGCTTTGTGTCCACTCTAGTAAACGTAATCCAAAAGCTGCTTCTGCTTCCAAAGTCTGATATGTATGATAGAGACCAAAGATTGTCGTTATATATATTATATGACTTCCTCTGTAGATCGATACTTTTTTCATTATATCATCAAAATCTGCTTCTCTTTTTTTCATTATTTCATTATTTTGTAACATGTTATGATAAAGTCGGATATATCTAAAAAGAAATGCACATATTTGAAATAGTTTAAAGAAATAATTTCGAGAAGAGAAATCATTAATATTATTATAATTATAATATTATTTATCATAAAATTTATATAACATGATCTTTAAATATAACATAGCCTTTTTTAAAATATAACGCAAAAAAATCTTAAAAATATTATAATTAAATTAAAATAATTAATCTATAATATCTATATATAATTATGCTAAGATATTAATGTATGAAATGTTTCGACAAGAGAAAAGAATTATTATAGACGTTTGTCTAGATTCTATTAGTTACGTTTCGCTTACGTATATTTTTTTATTAATTTGTGAAAATTTATTCTTACATTAATATAATTAATTATATATATATGTATAATTTTTAATATATATATATATATATATATATATATATATATATATATTACTTGAGATGTACGATTTATTGTTATTAATTGATGAAGAAAAAATGATTACTTAGGGCACCAATATGGAATAAGCAGCTCATCATAAGTCGCATTAATGTATATGAAATCCACTGGTTGCCAAGGAAGTAATGAATTTTTGCACATCAGCAGGTGGATAAAGTGCCGCGAGAACTAACTCTAAGCTCATTTTGATTCTAACGATTTCTGTACTCTGTGCATAGATATTTGGCTGATAGTATACATTTCCGAGAAAACTGTTGTATCTATTTCTTAATATCAATCCAAATTGATTCGCTCTCCTCTTACCAGCCTTAATAATGTTATCAATAAATATAAATAATAAGAAGAAAAATAAAATATATTTATTGTTAATTTTTCTTACAAACAGATAAAGATTTGAAACTAAAACAACAATATCTTCCACATGAAAATGAAGAAATGAGAAAAAGCTCAATTTTTCGTTCTTACAGATGTGTTTATTTATATAGTCGCATTTACTTTCATGAAAAACATCGTGCAAAATTGTTTTGACAGTAATTTTTGTTTTCTAAAAATTATAAATATACAACATATTTATTAACAATGAAAAGGTAAAAATATAATATAATATTGTATGTAATATATAAGTAAGATATTTTACATTAGTTAATTGACCGTTGCCATCTGGGTAATAGTTATAATTTTTATATGGATCATTTGGATAAGATTCATTGAGTTCAGTATCTACTGTACGATCGCCATATCTGAATATCTGGAAATTTCAACTTTACATTATCATATCGAATATTTTAGAAGAAATCTTTTTGACAAAATTTTAATTTTTACATCGTATCGCACTAATCCTAACTTCGTGCCTTGTGATTGTATTGAAATACACGTTGTAAGTAAACCGAAACAAAGTATTAGTGCAATACTTAGATTACATTGAAATTTTCTCATTTTTCAACTAAATCTATAATAATTATGAAATTTAAATATTTTATAATAATGATAATATAAATATTTTGTAATAATCTATACAATAAAAATATGATTAATATACAATTACTTACATTAGAGAATGCACGTCTCGTGCTCTTGATGTATTTTGTTAAAGTGACAATGTTGATCGCTTATTTAAACTGGCATTTACATCTCTTTGAAATATGTCTTGTGTTCTTAATACATTTTGTTATAATGACAATGTCGATCGCTTTTGATCTCATCTAAACTGAAAACGCTTATATCTGTTTGAAATATGTTTAAGTAAATATTTAGTAATTTAATATCAACACTGGTATTTTTCATGCAAAGCACCAGGAAGCATAGATAAGGAAGAATAAATAAAGATAGAAATACTTAAATTAACTACTATCTTTTTCATATTTTGTGTTCAAATTTTAAAATTTAATTTTAATATATAATTATGTATAATTTTTGTATTATAGTCTAACATTTTCACTTAAAAAATAAAATAAAAATCATTATAAAATATATTATTTATTATTTATTATTGTATTGTAATATATGGAGAAGTAGCATCTTATCTACAAATGTGTTTTATATTGGTTAGAAACTGCATAAAACTAAAAAGATAACAATACAAAATTTATATTCTGTGTAGTACATGATACACAGAATTTGTGTATATATGTATATGTAAATATGTGTGTGTATATATATATATATATATATATATATTTATTTATTTATAAAAAACAACTAAGAAATCGAGTCTATGTATTAATCAAAAAATTACCTATGCATGTTAATGCATAAAATAATATTTCAAAAACATTTTTTAGAAAGAGTACTCTTGATATTTATAAATATTTGCATCACTCATTTAATAATTATATTATTGCGATAAAATATATATTTTCTCCTAAATTATTTTATCTTCGTAAATATATATACTTGAAAACATATCGTACAATACATACAAGTTATTTATTATAACATTTAATACAATAATAATATAAATACAAACGTTGTATTATAAATTGACAATGAGTGAAATAAATGTATCAACAGTTTTGGATAATATAAATAAAAAGTGTTATCGAAAAGTAAGAAAATACAAATTGTAAAGAAAATTAAAAAGAGCTTACAAATACATCATTAAATAATAAAAATCAGAGAATAAAAAAGAGACTTAAGAAAATGAATATATCTGACAGAAGGAAATCAGGACCATGATTGTGTAAAACATAAGGATCAACGATATTATAAAATTTATCATCGATTAAACAATCGTTCCAGCACAGTAATCATTCTTAATTACTGGATATAACTGTTGACTTTTGATCTACGATAGAATTCTTTTGTCAGCAAAATGTCATTAAAGATCGGTCGAATCGGACGAACTCTTTGCGTGATGGTTTCTGTTTGCGTAAGGATCGGTATTTTCCCGTAAAGAATTCATCTCTGATGTAGTAGTATTGTTTGAGGATGTCATAACGTGTTCAGTTGAAAACATATTGCAATTCTGGCAACCTAATTGCTTTAGCAGCTGCTGCCAAATCGTTTTCTTCCATAAAAATATGATCATAATGCAAAAGCGTTGTATGCATTTGAGTATAATATATAGATACTTAATGGAAAATAAGTTTTCATGATATAACACTTGAATAGTAATCAAGGACCAGTATATGCAATAATTAATAAATAGTAATTTAGTTACTTGTACGCATATCTTAAACCTGCAAAATCATTGAATAAATAATTAAATAATTGAAAAGAAAATGTATGTGCATGAATATTTTATATTTTATTAATGGTGATAATTAATAAGTTTATAATTGAAAAAATTCAAAATTACTTATATTTAATGAAAATAAATATTAGCAATATTAGTATAATAATAGCTATATTAAGTATAATAAATGCTATATTTAGTATAATAAATGCTATATTAATTAAATTATAAATGATAAAAACATAAAAATAATAAAAAGGCTATGGGAGACTCTGTTGCGATTTATTGTTTGTTTTATTTTATTATATTATTTGCGCTGAAAATAACTAAAAAAGAACTGAAACGTCCGCGATTCCAATATTCAACAACTTTACTTAATATATTTGTTACTAATTATTGATTAGCTTTGAATCTTCTTGCGTGCATAATATCTGCGCTGGCTCTGATAGCCTTTTTATTATTTTTATGTTTTTGTTTTACAACTTCTAGAGCCATTTGTCTATTATTTCTTAATAATGCACTGAGAGAAATCGTTTGATTTTACCAACAAGACATATCTGATAGAAGGCATTTTGGTTAAACCAAGTGGAATTTCTAGTTATCACGATAAAACACGATTTTTTATAATTAAAACTAATTTAATGGACTTTACTATAAGGATTTGGTTAATATTTTCTAATTGGATCTATAAAATTTCTTGTTATATTAACTAAACATAGACATAGTGATGCTAATTTTTTTGTAAATTTAATATTATTACCAAGAAAATTTGGTAAATTTAACAGTAAGAAATTTCATACTCATCTGATAATTCCTAAAGGATTCTGATTCGTCCATTTTTCAATGCACAACTGATTAAATCTATCAGATTTTTAATTAATGCAAGACACCAGATTTTTGTCTACGAAACTGATAACTTTAAACTTGGCAAGATGAAAAAGAAGAAGACAAAGAGAGAATAGTAAAGTTTTTATTAAAGTTTTTTTTTAAGAAATGCAATTATTGCGTCTTTATGAAATAAGAAACAATTACATAAAAAAAGAAAATCGCCAATTTTCTCAAAATAACACGAAGATGATTGAAGCGATATATATACTTTTATCAAATTAATTATAAAAACATAATAAAGGATCTCTGAAAATGATAATATCTCTCTCTCTCTCTCTCTCTCTCTCTCTCTCTCTCTTTCTCTCTCTCTCTCATTTTCTCTTTTACTATTGTTGAAAATGAGAATGTCATTGGTAAATTTATTTTTATTAAGAAATTTTAGCACATATTTTATTAACAAGATAAATTAATTATAAATAATTACGTCCATATCGATGCAAAGATATTGCTTACGTACCATTCCTTGTTGTCATTGTAACGCCGACTCTCCGAATCTTTCAAGTGCCGAGCAATGTCTTTTTCATAATACGCGATTTTTTGTGCTGTACAGATACACAAGCAAATAGTACTGATAGAGGAGATAGTTTCAATAGGGTAACCATACAACATATATGCCAAAACGCCTGAAAATGTAAAATAAATTTTTTATTGTTTCTCATATTAAATCGCATTTTATAAATGCATCAAATATATTTTTAATTTCCACAGATTATTTTTCATTTTTATGTGCTAGCATCAATTGAATTATCTATTAATATAGCATTTATTTACCAATCCCACAGTATTCGCTGAAATTTGGCCGAATATTATTCGGTACACCAGGAACAACTTCTATAATGCCACAAATAATAGCGAGCATAAAGGGGCCTCCAAAGGCGAAGACAGAATATATGATTAACTTTTTTCTCTCTTGTTGTTTCGTATTTCTTAGTTGCATTTGTCTGCGGAGCACAATTTATATTACATTTATGAGGTAAAAATAGAAGAAATACAAATACATATTAATATAAATATGTTTTTGGACGAAGTTTTTAGTAAATCTATTATATAACTATTAAAATTGATTAACATTAAAATATACTCGGCAATAATTCTTTTTTTAAATCTAATTCACATTATTCAATATTACGACATGAAACATTATATGCCACCATATATAAATACGTAAAAACTATGTATATATATATATATATATATATATATATATATATATGCATATATATGGTGACATATAATGTTTATGTTTGTTTAAGTTGTTACGAAGAGAAAGAAAGAATAAAGTGGTATTAACTTTTGGTTCTTAAAAAAGACACATTAAAAAGAAAAAAATTACAAATAGCTAATGTTAGTTACTATAAATAATTCAAAATATTAATTTAATTAATACTACTTTGTTTATAAAAATTAAATATAATCTTACAAAACGGAAAAATCAATATTTAATGAAGTCTGCAAAAATTTCGAAGAAAATGTAGAAAAAATATAAATTTTTATTTATAAAAGTGCAGCCTATGATTTCTATGTACTAAATTTACAATGTTTTCAAGCCCAGTAATAGTTTACATTCTTAGAAACAAAAAATTACAGAACATAAGTCTATATATATTCTGTATTCTATTCAAAATTTATCGTTTCCTGATATTATTTTTATATTGATATAAGTATATAATGATGTACGTATTTATATATTATAAATGAATATTTCGTAGTATTTGGTGCAATATAAATCAATCTTATAAAGATTAACAAATTTATAACAATTTACATTACAAATTAAATATATATAATATGGAATATTTAACAGCTTACCTAAATGTACGCCACATATCGAAACACATTACATTTAACCAAAAAGACATTGCTAAAGGGATATAGTATATGATAAAACCTGAAACAATGAAATAAACAATGTGTCAATTAATAAGTTTTTGACAAATGTTGAAATTCAAAATTATATTATATATGATTATAAAAAAATTATTGATTGTAAATTAATTTTAAATTAATTTTCTGTTCTGTAAATTAAAAAAAACCATATATTTATCATATATGCTAATATATATATGCTAATATATATAATATGTTATAGCTCTATTATATAATATATTATAGCTCTATTATATAATATATTATAATATATTATAACTAATATATATAATATATTATGTTATATATAATATATTATAACTCAATAATTTCTTAATGTATAGCATAATTCTGCGAAATTTTAACATGCACCAAATACTTTTATATAATTTAATTTACTATTAATTCTTGCGTTTTTAAAGTTATAAAAATTACAAATTACATATTCAAATGATCAAAAAGTATTAAACCATCAGTATGTCAGCATGCATTGACAATCCTAATATCTCTAGATGTTACATTGGTTGCTTTATTGTATAATATAATATTGTATAATATGTTATTGTGAATATGTTGTACCTCTAGCGATACAGATGAAGTCATCTATCTCATTTCTTTTGAGTCGCCGTGTTGTCTCTATAATTATTTCACCGATAAATGCCAAGCCGCTATAGTTACGCAGTATGAAGCCTTGTTTATTACGGAGTTCTGGCACTATGGAGTACACTATGAAAATCACCAGCGAAAGTAATATATGTCCTATTGCAGCACACGTGAGTACAATTTCATATGTTTCATTATCATTTTGTAATTCCATGATTTGATTCATGATTTCAACATTGATTTCCTTCATAATCTCCCAGCAAATATTCACAGTAAATTCGTCTTTACGCACATTAGCGAGACAATAAGATGTTGATTCGATAGTTGTATTATACTTAGATAGATAGACGGAACCATCGGCGAGAAATGTGTTATTGTAAGGATAAAGTGAGTAATAATCTTGACATGGATTTTGAACAATTAAAAGAAATAATTCTTCTCTTCTTTCACTTTCGTTTTGCAACGAATTATTAATGTATCCATACAAGTTTTGCAAGAAAATAAAATTACCCTGTACGGCAATGCATATTCCATTAATCAGGTTACTACCGAAAGGACAGCACAATCGAATACAAGTAATATTGTCGCACATATTGTATGAACTGATATTATTTTGATCATTATCTATATTAAAATTTTTAAAGTACTCGAGTGACGTGGATCCACTCTTGTCTATGGTGTTCGTTATATTCATATCTGTAGATATCTTTATAATCGGATGAATTGCATCTTCATTATAATTTATAGTCTTATTCATGATCTTTTTTATACTCTCAAGGCAAACGTTCACAGCAAATATATCGTTATCTACAGTAGCGAAGCAATAGGATGTTGATTCGATAATTGTATTGTAATAAGGTAGATATAAAGAGCCATTAGGCAAAAACGTATTATAGTAAGAATTAAGCAAATAGTGTCCAGTCTTCGGACACGGATCGTGAACGACCAGAAGAAATAATTCTCCTTTATTTTCGTTGTTTAACGAATTATTAACATATCCATATATATTTTCCAGAAAAATAAATTTACCCTGTTCGGCAATGCATTTTCCGTTAACCAGATAATTACCGAAAGGACAACATAGCCGAATACAAGTAATATTATCGCACATTTTGTACGGAACGATATTATCTGCTAGCATTTGATTATCATTCTCATGATTCTTTTCAGCATGCGCTCGAAATTTATATTGTATCAAATCGTCATGCTCGCGGTTATTTGTAAAATTGACGCTATACATATACTGCATATCATCGTTATTTTTGGTAAAATTTTCATGAAAATTATACCGATCTTCTTCGTCGTTATAATTTCTCTTCTTCATCATCATAGTATTTGCATCAAGTTGAACTGTTGAATAATCTTTTTCTTCATTGTCACTTATAAAATTTGTCCAAAATACTGAGGATGAAGCGGTAAATGGAAGTATGCAATACCAAAATGCGAGATTTTTTCCACACATCATTGATTACTTAACGTGTTGAATTTACTTGTGAAAAAATACTCTTGATTTCGTTTTACGATAGCTGCTCAGACGAGTATCTAACGACCATAATAATATATAAATATAAAAAGTAAAATTGTGTATTAAAAAATTAAAAAAGTAAAAGTGACATTATAAAATTACGAATATATAATGATGCTTACTTAATGCGAAGATTTTTGTGATGTATTGGCAAATGCATTTAAAAAATTAACAATGTCGATAAGCAAATATCAATAACTCAAGTTCTTTAATTTTCGAATGATAAGAAGTGTGATAACAATTTCACAAAAGATATATTTATTTACACAGCTGTCAATCTCACAATTTTGAAATTTATGATTTACTGAAGCTTTTAATTCATTAAAATTTATAGTTTTTGAAGTTTATGATTTAATGCGCGGCAAAACATAATTATTCATTTTTATTTATATGGGTTTAAACACTTTTAGCGGATTTTTAATTCGACATATCCCCTTATTTGCGATTTTGAGTGAGTAGCACTACGCCTAATTTTTCAAGAAAATTAATTTTACATTCTTATTTTAGTGCAATATACTTTTAAAAGCTTTAAAGATTTAATAGTATGAAAATAAAGTGAATCAAACAAATCAAATTTTAATTATTACCACTTCAATAATTATTATATACACACATGTGTACGTCTCGAAATTGCACAGTTTCAAAGTTCTATATTAATTTTGTGCTATTTATCTTTTAGTTATATTAATTAAATGAAAGAAACTATATCTTAAACGTGAATATATGAGTGCAACAAAGTCAAGTTACTGTATGTTTTTTCTTTTTTCCAGAGAATCAATAAAAGACAAAAAATTTTGTCGAATTAAATTTAAAATTGTTTACGATAACCCTTATAAAAACAATATTGCAATAGATTTTTAACTTTTTCACTAAACTCGAAATAAAATCGTTATTGACTACGTTTACACGGCTTCTAACTTCGATTTAATAACGCTGATGTTATAACTTTATTTAAAGTAAGTGAGTTGTGTTTATACGTTCAAGCTTATCCTATCCCCACCCAACTAAAATAACTTAATAACTTTCGAGTGAAGTGAGTCCAAGAAATGATACCAATGAAATGATACTAAATTTGCAAACAAGAGAAAGTTAAAATGTTTAATTTTGGTTAACAACGATTGGGATTATTGCCGGATTATTTATCGTTACTGCGACCGTTTACATATCCTTTTTACATCGATGTAGAAACGTTGAGCCTTTTCACCAAACGACTTTGAGTTACTACATCGATGTACTAATTTCATTGTAAAAGAGCGTCTACACGACATCTAACATCAGTAGTTATAACATCAATGTTAGAACTTCGGCGTAAATCGAGTCATGTGAACGTAGTCATTGTTATTTTTGTCTTTGAGAAAAGATTGGAAAGAAGATCGTGCGAAAAACGCAATAAGACTATCGAAGATGATGATTCATCGAAGAAGCAGTCTGTGTGCTGCAGAAAAATCATATATACAATGTGATACAAAAAACTTTACTTACAAACTTCTATGGATGGTATCTTGATTAACTTTACGACTAATTTGATACATACATTTTATTATTTATATAATATTATTTTTATTATTTAGATATTATTATATCATTGAAGAATAAACCTCCTATGGTAAGATATCACGTTTTCGAAAAAGTATAGTAAAAATAGATTTATAAATCAATCTTTAAAAATAGATTCATATATAATTATTAGCTAACGCTCGAAGAAAGATAATTTTTTATTTACATCAGATGCTTATATATGGTCGAAAAATTTTCCTGCAGAAGTAAATCGATATTATAAATATAGCAGAAATTTTAATTATTTTAATAACAATTTTTTCCTGATTTTACTTATCATATTTTTGATGTACACGGTAAAAAACATTTTGTATTTCGGTTAAAATTTTCTCGTGTAAAAAACTTTGTGTTAAATTTTTAACATATTCTTATGTTAATGTAGTATATTATTATTGCGTTATTTTGACATTTTTGCGTTGAGTTAATATTCCGTTTCTAAGAGTTAAAACAACACAATTACTATGTAAATGCACGAATTTTTGATGAAATATGTTAAAATGAACAGATAAGTTGTGTTATTTTTCTCTCTATAACAGTTTCCATATGTTAAATCGACATATCTTTTTTGTTATTTATCATAAAAATGTAAGAATAACATTTTCTTTTAATTAAATTTAACATTATAAATATGTTAATTTAACATAAACTTTATTTCCAGATAAAGTTTAAGTGTCACACTTTTGTGTTAATTTTTAAACATATTACTTGTGTTATTTATTTACATACTTGCCTTCTGTTAAATTAACATTAAAATTAGAGTGAATAAATTGGGACATGTGAAATATGTTAAATTTAACACAAAATTTTTTACTGTGTACAAAAATATAGAATATTTAAAGATGAAATTATTTGAGAAATATATATTTTATTTATACTTTTTTTTCACCTTATACATAATGATACAAGGATGAAACCGGATAAAGATATATTATTTAAAAACTCGTTTGCATTCTAAGATTTCTAAGATTTTACAAGGATTATATCATTAAGAAAGACGATAATATGTGCCAAGTCAAGGACAGCAACAGACACATTATGCATTTGTACATAAACCGTTTAATTGCATAAATCTTAAATCTTCGGATCTTAAATCTATAAGACTATGATAAAAATTATTATCAATATCTAGATATTGTGTTAAATAATAAATACATAAGTAAAATAAGTGAAAATTATAGTAACACCAAGTTCTTTAGCACTAAACTTATTACTTTTAATTATTTTAATCATTTATTTCATCGAAAGGTAAAAAAGGATATCAAGTATAATAATAATATACAAAAATAATATTATTTTCAAACTAAAAATGTGAAAACTACTATAAAGAATTACTATATGTGCAAAATGTTCTTAATTTTCTATCAAAAAATGATATAAAAATTGTAGTACGCCAAGAATAAAAGCCTATGCAAGTTCAAATAAAAATATTTTAATTTAAAACACTGTTGTGCAAAATATTTTAATTTTCAAAAATAAGAATGCAATAATAATTTATTTTTTATCTGATTAAACTAGAAAATATATAACTATTACAATATATAACTATTACAGAAAATATATAATTACTATTTCTTTATAAGTTTTTTTATGTATAAATGAATTATTCCTGCAGTATTAAATTAAATTAATACTTTGGAACTCCCCCTATCTGCATTAGTATGAATATTTTGGCTATTTAAAAATTTGAAGAATCACTATTTTGAAATTCGAAATACAGAGATTAAGCACAAGAATCTAATATTAATTTTCAAATGTAAAATTAATTTACAATATCACAATTAATTGCTGGTTGCTAGATCTACATGTATCTCTAGATAATATGATGCATGTCCATATGAAAAAATTACAAAATACTATTTAAAAATCGATTCGGATTCAACATTCATATTTTAAACAATTATTATATCATACATGACACATATCATGAGTGATTTGATTGAAAATTAAAAATAGCAATAAGTCAGATGGCACCGATATAATTTATTTCCATCTCGAGATATAATGACACGTGTCGGCAATGCGGATATTAGATGCCGGTATTGTAATAATGCATACGCTAGAATACAGCATTCTAATAAAACAGAATAATATGTTCCCCAGTCGTATCGATAGGAAGTCTGCCGCCAAACGAACACCGGCAATTAGTAAAGCGCATTACGCCAATTTTTTTAAACATTTCAAACAATCAATAACATCGCCGTAAATTCACTGAAGATTATTAAATCGATGACTAGTTAAGCGTTTCAGCTTCACCGAAATCTCTTGGGCAGAATAGGTTCATCGATATATATTCGGTATATATTCGAGGAAGAAAACGAATTACGCGGATTATTAGCCTATATAAAACGAAACCTTTGACAGTCCGAACATTAGATCTGATTCTAACGAAATCACTGATTCTGATTTGAATCTTATTGCGCACGGAGACAAAAGATGAAATGTACTTCACCTCAACTGAGCCTTTTCCGTTTTCCGTTTGTGCAATATTCCGAAATTCTTACCGCAGAATCGGAACTCAGATACTCCAATACAATCGAGCATTCAATCGGCATCTAATATATCTACATCGCCGACACGTGTCATTATGTCTCGAGATGGAATAAACCGCTATTTCCGCCAAGGGTTCTCCGACGCATATTTCTCGTATACCGTTCCTCGCTCGCGAACATCCGCGCCTAAATTAATTAGATTCGTATCGCAAAACCATGCATGTAAAATTATTTCTTAATTAAAAATTATTTTAACACTCACTCTTAAATAAGAGCAGTCACTCTTAAATAAGAAGCGCTTCTTTTCACGATCTAGGAGCCTGTTATGATATAAAAAAGTAAAACTAAAGATCAAAGATCAAATCGAATGAACTTTTTGCAATTAGCTGTTTCGTAAGAATTGATCTTTTCCTATGGAAGAGTCATCGCTGAAGTAGTGCTGCGATTGTTTGAGGATACAATAGTATGTTGAGTTACTGAAAATATTCCACAACTTTGACAACTCAATCGCTTGAGGAATAGCTGCCTAAGCTCTTTTTCTTCCATACAAATATAATGAAAACGTAAAAGTACTGTATAACGTCCAGCACAAAGAGCCGAGTACCAGATAATGTATCATTATCATTATTATTATCATTATTATATAACTCTTCGACATTTATGTACGTTTTTACACACATGATGATAAACAGCACTTTAGTTACCTCTAGCTGCAACTTAAACCTGCAAAATTGAATAAAATAATTAAATAATTGGAAATAAAATATGTATACATGTATTTGTGATTATTTTTGGTAGTTATTAATAAATTTACAAGGAAAAAATGCAAAAATTATCCACATTTAATGAAGAAGAATTTTCAATAAATAATTATTAATCAATTACAAATATATTTCAAAAATATAACTATATAAATATATTTTTAAGTGCTATATTAATAAAATTAAATTATAAATGAAGCTAATTAAACTTAGAAAAATGGAAAGAGAAAGTAACAAAGTTTTATCTAAACATTTTTATGAAATGCGACGATTATCCTTATAAAATAAGAAACAATCACAAACTCGGTTTCCTTTATTTACATTTTTAGACTTTATTTTTACCACTGTTTATCATTTTCATGAAAATCGCCAATTTTCTGAAGAAAACGCCAATCTAATTAAAGTGAAAGTATGTTTGTTTCTTTAAGTGTAATTATCAAAAAAATTAATTAGAAATTAGCAAGTAAGAGTCAATAAGTCACGATAATTGGAGCGTAAAATAGAAAGAAAACACTTTCCTCTTTCTAATTATATAATTATTATATATTAATTTTATATAGCTAAGATATATTTTGAATTACTCATAAACGTAAACGTTTCAGATTATCTGAAATCTATCTTCAGTGGGACATTAAAAATCGCTCCAGGAACTTTCCAAATTTCAACTAGCTCAAATAAAATTAAATTATTTTGATATCACTTCAACAATCAATAAGCAAATATAACTATGTTCTGTCTCGCAATGATGTGGTGAGCACATTCTCCCAAACAATTCTAATATTAATGTCACGCTGAAAATGGATCAAAAGATGATTCGAAATATTCGTGTTTAATGCATATATTGTAATGAGTAATTCGAAATATACTTACCAACTTTTTAATTAATTTTTTGATTATTATTATTTGAGGCAATTTTTACTTTAATTAAGTGTGATTATAAAAACACATTATCATACAAAGATATCGTAAAATGACAATCTCTTTTTCTCTTTCTCTCTCTCTCTCTGTCTCTTTTTGTTCTTGAAAATGAGAAAAATATTGTTGATAAATTTTTATTTATTAATATCTTAGGACATATAAGTTGTTAAATTATATGCATTGATGTAAAAATGTTGTTTACCATTGTTTTTGATCATCATAATGTTTCTTTTCTGAATTTCTCAGGTGATAAGCATCATTTTGTTTTAAATATGCGATTTTTCGTGCCGTAAAGAAGGATAAACAAATGTTACTGGTAACAGAGATAATAATTCCATAATAATACAACCAATATGCTAGTCTGCCTGAAAATATGATATAAAAAATGAATTTCTTATTGTTTCTCATATTAAATAGAGTTTTATAAATGCATCAATCATATTTTTTAATTTCAATAAGAATATTTAAATTTATGTTACATTATTTCTTAATTTTATATCCTAATAAAAAAATAAAAAAATAATGCATTAATTAGATTATCTATTAATGCAGCATTCACTTACCAACAAGTCCAAAGTTATTTTGTATGAGAGGAAAAAATAGGATAAATAATAATAAAATATAAATAATAATAAAAGGGACTCCCCATGCATAGATAGAATAAATTATTAACATTTTCTTCTCTTCTTGTTTCATCATTCTTTGTGACGAATGCAATTGTCTGCGAAACATAATTTACGCTTTACATTTAGCCAGCAAAAATAAAAGAAATTACAATGTAATTAAACATTCATATAAATGCATTTGATCGATGTTTTTGAGAAAATAACTAATTCTATAAATAACTATAAAAATTGATTTTCTTTATTCAACATCACGATATGACAATATATCGTTGTAAATAAATGTGAATGTACGTACCTATATTTTATAAATGAATAATTTGTATAGTATTTTGTACAATAATCAATCTTATGAAGATTAACAAATTTATAACAATTTACATTATAAATAAAATATATACAATACGGAATAATAAATAAAATATATATAATATATGTAATACTTGTATAGCAGCTTACCTAAATGTACGCCAAATATTGAAACTCATTACATTTAACCAAAGATAACTTCCGAAAAAGGCATGGTATTTGACAACAGCTGAAATAATGAAATAAACATGTCATTTAATAAGTTTTTGTCAAGTAATGAAATTCACAACTATAATATATGTGACCGTAAAAAGTTATAAATTATTAATTAATTTTTTGTACTGCAAATTTATAAAAAAAACGATATATTTATCATATGCTAAACTTAATAATTTCTTAATAAAGATATAAATCTATGAAATTTTAACAACATGTAAAAAATATATAGATAATTTTAACGTGATTTTAAAATGTACCAAATATTTTTATATAATTTCAATTATTATTCTTTCATTCTTAAAATTATATAAATTGCAAATTATATATTCATGTTATCAAAAAATATTAAACCGCCAATTTGCATTGAAATTTCTAAAAAATTTACATACTACTTATGTGTGTGCTTTATTATAAAATTTGAATATACCGTACCAAATATGATATAGATGTAATCTCCTAAAGCATCCTTTTCGATTAGTGTGTCCATCAGGAAAATCGTATACGCAACGAATATCAATCCACTATATCTACATAGTATAAAGCCATGTATATTTTGAAGTTCTGGCTGTATGGAGTACACTATGAACATCATCAATGAAGACAGTATAACTCCTAATTGGCCGCATGAAAATACGATCATAATTGAACTAATCGGAAAGAATACATTTTTTCCTTTATGGCGTATAGTCTCATTCGTGATTTTCTTCATAATGTCCGAACAAACGTTCACAATAAATTTATCTTGAGCTATGTTAGCGAGGCAATAGGATGTTGATTCAATGATTGTGTTGTAATGAGATAGATACAAAGAACCATTGGCGAGAAAGAAAGTGTTGTAAGGATTAAACCAATGATATCCAGTCTTCTGACATGGATTGTGGACAATCAGAAGAAATAATTCGTTTATCTTTTTATTTTCATTTCTTGATGAATCATTAATGTATCCAAACATTTTTTCGAGGAAAATAAAGTTACCCTGTTGGGCGATGCATTTTCTTTTAACCAGGCGACTACCGAAAGGACAACATAACCGAATGCAGGTAATATTGTCGCACATCTTGTATGGAATGATATTACTTTTATTATTAACTGTATTAGAGTTTTTAAAGTATTCGTGCGACATGTACTCGTTTTTGATGTGCTCTAAGTTTTCATTCGTATTAATCGGATAAATTATATCTTTATTGTTATTTGTAGTTTTACTTATAATCTTTTTCATAATCTCAAAGCAAACGTTCACAGCAAATATATTGTAATTTACGACCGCAAGACAATAAGATGTTGGTTCGACAATTGTGTTGTAATCAGGTAGATACAAAGAGCCATTAATAAGAAATTTGTTCTGTATTAAGTAAGGATTCATCAAGTAGTGTCCAGTTTTCTGACATGGATCGTGAACAACCAAGAGAAATGCATCATCTACTTTTTCACTTTTAGTTTGAAACGAATCATTAATGTAACCATACATGTTTCGCAGGAAAACAAAGTAACCTTGTTCAGGAATGCATTTTCCATTAATCAGACGATTACCAAAAGGACAGCATAGTTGAATACAGGTAATATTGTCGCACATCTTGTATGGTATAATATTAATTTCACGGTTACTTCTATTGAAATTATTAAAGGAATCATACGTAGAAAGATCATTATTGCCTTTGATCCTTTTTAAGTCATTAAGTTCTTGTGATATAAAATTTCTTCTGCTGTCAAACTCTGTTGAATTGCGAGAATTCACCGATATTTGACTATCATTCTCATGCGCTCGAGATTTATATTGTGTGAAATCATCAATCATCAATCGCTCGTGATTATTATTCGTGAAATTGATGCGATACTCCATATCGTCGTTATTTTTGGTAAAATTTTCATGCAAATTATACCAATCTTCTCCATCATCATAATTTTTCATATTATTTGTATCAAGTTGATATCGTATCGTAGTTGAATAATCTTTTTCTTTGTTGTCACCGGTCAAATTTGACCAAAGTGTCGAAGATGAAGCAATGATTGGAAGCATACAATAAAATATGAGATCTTTTCCATACATCATTGATTATTTAACGTGTTGAATTTATTTTGTGAAAAATTATTCCTGATTTCATTTTACAATAACTTCACAGACGGGTATCTAACAACCATAATAATACATAAATTAAAAAGTTGAACAATATTGTACATTTGTAAGAGATTTGATGATGCTTGCAGCGAAGAACGGTGACAAAAGATATATTAGTTTGCTCCTGTTAGTCTTATTATTCTGAAATTTATGATTTTTGTTATAAAATTATAAATTTTATTTTTTGTAAAAGCTTATAATTTATGAAAATTAAGGATATCTGAAATTTATGATTTAAGTAATACGTCGCATAATATTTACTAAAAAAGAAAATAAATTAATAAACACAAAGAGCAACTGAACAAATAACAATAACGCAAACAGTTTAGTTATGTATAATATTTCTTAAATTTATATAGTATTATATTTCAAAATTTTAATTATTTAAATATTTTTGCATATAGTTAAAAAGTTTCTTTTCAACTTTTGAAAATTTTTCTTCTAAAAATTAATAATAATCGATAGCGTATAAAAAAAGTTTCATTTGTTTTATTAACAAATTTATTAGTTTCTTTTGTAATCCCCAAACTACAAAAGAATACTTGCAATCAAAAAATGAAATTTTATTGAATGTATAAGTTTATTCATCAAAGTCTTATAATTTTTCTTATGTATGCTAATATAAAAGAATAACCAAGCTCTACTATTCAAAACCGGTTTGAACTCGACGTTCGTGTTTTTTAAACAATTATAAGACTATAACATGACTATTTATTTGATTGGAAATTAAAAGCGATAGATTAGATAGATTAGATAGTACTGACAAGAAAAAGATTTTAATGAGGAAAAGATACTTTCGCAAAAGATTGCATTAAATTTCTTGAATTAACATGAAACTATTACTAAAAATTAAATCATATTAGAGAAAGTAAATGATTTTTGTAAAATTGTAATTAATTTTAAAGGTAAAATAATTGTATGTGCAGAAAAATTGCACACATATATGAATTTATTCATGTGATATTTATGTTAATTAGAAAAGTAAACATGTCAGGTTACAGGATGTTCGATAATAATTATATCTCTCATGTGTAGAGAGAGCAAGTTAAATTAAATAAAAAAGTCCTTTACTGTTTTTACCGACAATAATTATTTTGAAACATTAACTTTAAAAAATTAACCAATTATCGGGAATAACATGTGGCAAAAAGAAGTGCCTGCTGTTACGCGGTTGCGAAAACGCGAGGATGCAACATTACACAAGGAAAGGTACCCAACTGTCACTTACGGATTCTAATGAAATTTTGTACACTTGTAAAACTATGCAAAATAATAGACACATGTTTTTTTTTATCTGCGGAGAAGCAATTTTAAGAAACAACCCCTTGTATATAATGGGCCATTTTTTTAAATGGAACCATCTACTTTTTATTGTATATATTCTTATAGCTTATATCTAGAACTTTCCAAAACACTATAATAATGTTATTATACGTCAAGTATTTTCCGAGTTATAAGGCTTGAAAGTTACATTACAGTAGATGGGGTTGTTTCTGCCCTCAAAATCACTTCTCCGCAGATAAAAAAAATACGTGTCTATTATTTTGTATAATTTTATAAGTGTACAAAGTTTCATTAGAATCCGTAAGTGACAGTTGGATACCTTTCCTTGTTAGTAAAGCATTCCTCACAACATTTTACACACATCTTTTAATCGCATAATAATAAGCTATCTGTTTTCACGCTACTTGCACAAATTGATCAATTTATCATTTATCAATTAATTTCTTATTAATTATTGTTCAAAAATCGCAAAATAATAGAGAATTTTCTATTTAGTCAAATTCACTTTATCTATACACGTGCAGTGATACAATAATTAACGAAACACCTTATTATACATTTTTCTCTACCTTTTTATTCACGTTGTAATCGTATAATAGAGAATGTCAAATCAATACAAAAAATACGGATACTCGAATATAATCACTCACGTTCGTATTCGAATCACTGAAGACTTCTTAAATCGAACTTCGTTATAAAAACATTTTTTTTGCTTATAATTATATGACTGAACGCTTTGAATGTTCGTGGAAGAGTGCTCGCCATATGGACAGCTTTTAATTATTTCTTATGTCTTTCTCGATTCTACATCGATGTCATTCACTTTAATGTGACACACCTTATTCACTTGGGCATGCGTGGAGCTTCGAATTATCAGGTACATATGTTTTAACACTTGAACATATGTTGTATATATGTTTTAACAATTGAATGATTTCTTATAGTCTTCTAATAGTTGCATCGGATAAACTTGTCATAATGAACCCAATACAGAAAGTCATTGGCGAAGGTTATATATTTGTCGTCTGGATAATTGATCGAAATTTAGCACAAAATGTTTAATCTTCTGACACGAATTGTGAACGCAGTTGAAATAGCATTCTGTCACTTACTTTTGTTCTATAATAAAGTTGTATATTGTTTATAATAAACTCATACATATTCAGATAAAAATATTTAGCCTTTCCTGTGTTTTTCATTGATCAAATGATCATTAAGATGACAACAGTTAAATACATGTAATGTTGTTATTACATATTGTATGTATGGAAAGATAATTAATTTTATTATTATCTCCACTGAAAATTTGACGAAAATTATACAATTGTACATGAATTTTTTATGAAGCTTTATTAGTATTTATTTGTCATTTTGATTCGTCATTTTCATGATTTTGTATATTATCAAATCCACAAGCAATTCACTGAGTCAGCATCTTCGTTAATTGTGGAGTTTGTAAAAAAATCATGTTATGAAAATAACATGTAGTTATTATTGATATAATTTTCATGTAAAATATATCAGTTCAATTTCACCTCGATATCTCGATATCCCGAATTATCATAGAAGTGAATTTCTGTTGCACTGAGCACAGGCAAGCATCGGTAAGTATAAGTATGTAATATCAAATAAGTATGTAATATTATATTTGATTTTTGTCTCACTAGAGCACGCTAATACTGTATCTGGTTTAGTTCCGATGTCTCTTCCCAAGATATATGAGAGATGAAAACGTAAGTAACATACTCACATGAGCCCATGAAGCAAGATTACTATGGGGATAACAAATTACCCGACAACGTTGAAACAATTTGACTAATGGTGTCTTATATCAAGTTACATAATTACAAGTCAGTCGCAGCAAATAATTTGATTAATGTAGTGATAGAATAAATTATATATTCTAATTAAGAGCTATTACATTTTCGAAAAAATTATCAAGAGACATAAACTAACAAAGTAATTAAGATTGTAATATTTTAATTGAGAGCTGCTACATTTCCAGAAGATAGAATTGTCAAGAGATTTAATAAATTAAGTAATTAAGATTTTAATACTGATTTTTTACTACTTGAATTATGAGTAGTTATATTTTTGATAGAATCAGAGATAGAATTAAGAGATGCAATTAACAAAGTAATCAAGATTCTTATTCCATGATATTAGAAGATAATATTCTTTACTAAGTAAAAATCTGAAATTTATTATTTGTATGTAAACAAAGCCATTAATGGACGATAATATAAAATTAATCTTTTATTAAAGAATTAAATTACTATATTACAGTTAACTGTTATTTAACTGCTGATCTTTATTATAAAAAATTTTTTTGATGCATTGTACAATTAAAGATTCTCAAATAAAGTCTATCTGCGACGGTTTGCCTGCCTAGAGATTGGCAAGCTAACAATAAGTCATTTCAAAATTAAAACAAAAAATCAACATACATTAAAATATATATATATATATATATATATATATATATATATATATATAATTTTAGATTGGAAAAAGCTCTCTATATTTTGTACTCGTGTAAAATTTTGAAGTTTTATGGATACGTCAAGAGTTACGTCCTTAACATTAAAAAAACACGATAGATATCTCTCGCCAAGTGACGAACATTAATAAAGATGAGTTATATATGTATACATATTGTTCAATTAGCCGTTTCCTTAAAATTTGAAAATGTGAATAATAATAAAAATTTACTAATTAAAAATCAATTAATTTTAAATTTTTAATAAAGAATATTTTTGCTTTTTTTATTTTACTTTATTACATGATATATGGAAAATTATACAGAGCATTTTTTTTTAAGAAAGTTCCTTTTTTTAGTAAATACGTAATTTGTGTATAGTAATTGATCATTCACGTGCAATTAAAGAGAGTAAATATTATCGACGTAATTGATAATAACATAGGCGCACAAGTTAATCTTTAGTGCTGATATCGGCTTACGTGATGCGCGAAAAGATTTAACCTTAATAGAAGCTGGGAGTGTATAGTGGAACGGAAAAATACAGTGTGTAGGCAAATTATATATACTTGAGAGAGTATGTGAAATAATAGGATAATTGTTATGCGATACAATAAGGGGACGATCCGAACTCTGTGTCTTCGATAAGATATGGCTCTGGACATATTTAACGAATTTAAATATGTCCAGAGCCTGAGCATCAAATTTTCAACGATACGCTATATTAGCCGACGAAAACGGCATTCTTCTGAAATATCTCTTATACGTATATATATATATATATATATATATATATATATATATATATATAAACATACATATATATAGTTAATTCCATAAAATCTCTAACACATGAATTATTGTATCGTGAAAAAATTAACAGAAACAATCGAAAATCAAATCGTCAAATATTAGCATTAACGGACAATAATTCTGGACATTCCAATTCATCGTTCGTCGCAGTTGATGCCGATGTTAATTGTATAAATTTATCATATGGGCATAACATTTCGCAGCCAGGGATACGTTTTTCTATCAATGTTGATGGAATGCCTAAATAATGTATCACCTATAAGAAATAAATTTCATTTGTTAATTATTAGGCGTTAGTGGCAAAAATATTATTCATCGCACGCTACTGGCAAGCACGTGTTACTGAGAAAGAAAAGAAATTTAACAAAAAAAAGACTTACTTTAACAAAAAACTCGCCATTCTTTTCATGTAATTCTATTATAATACTGCTTGTGTACCGTAGAACGTTCTCACAGGATATATTTAAAGTGTGCATTATGGCGGCCACATTCAAATCATGTCCAGAAAAAAGATTAAGTTTACGATCTTTTAAAGTTCCATTGACCACTTCATTCATATCGTTAATTATTTTACGTAATAATACACCTGTAAAAAATCATATCTTGTCGAATATATTATAAAAATATAAAAATATAAAAATACATATACATACATGTATAGATAAACACACACATATATAGATATGATATTTGTTAATGTATATGAACGTTTTATAACACACCAATATGTGCATCAATCTTTTATATAATAATAAAATAATTTATAAAATAATAAATTCAATTTTCTTCTTAATCAGAATTTACTTGGTAATTATCTGTATTCTAGAAATCTAAAAAGGTAATTTAAAATGCTTTTATTTACAAAGACAATATATTTCTCTCATATTTTAAACATATTGTAATAAAAATAACTATTTTTTAAAAATTTATAACGTTAAAAGCAATTATTCTTATTATTTTTATTGTTATATTTTTTCCAGAGAAATGAAAGGTAATAGAACAGTGAATTTATAGCCGAATATTATATATGTAACCAAAATATATAATATTTAATCGAAGATTAATATTTAATACTCTTTAAATAGATAATTCATAAGCAAAATATAAGTTTTTGATTCAAACATACCTCCATTAAGTTTATTTAGTATGCCGTAACTTAATAGATCATATTGTAAAAGTTTGGCATCCATAAGTGCGCCATTTGGAAAGAAGCTTTGCGTCCACTCTGGTAAACGTAGTCCAAGGGCTGTTTCTAATTCTAAAGTCTCATATATATCAAAGAGATCAAATATTGTCGTTATATTTCTCCTTGTGTAGATCGATACTCTTTTCATTACACTAGCAAAATCTGCTACTTTTTTTTTTATTATTTCATTATTTTGTAACATGTCATCATAAAGTCGAATATATCTAAAAAGAAATGCACATACTTGAAATTAAAGAAATAATTTCAAGAAGAGAAATAATTAATATTATTATAATTATAATATTATCTATGAAATTTATATCACATAATCTTTAAATATAGCATAATTTTTTAAAATATAACGCTGAAAAGTTTTTAAAAAGTGCCACAATGAAATTAAAATAATTAACTCATATATAATTATGCTAAAATATTAGCTTAATATTGCTTAAGTAGTTCGAAATGTTTCGATAAGATAAAAGAATTATTATAAATTGTCTAGATTCTGTCAATTACGTTTGGCTTACATATATTTTTCTACTAATTTATTAATTAAAATTTATTCTTACATTAATATAATTAAATATTATATTACTTGAGATAAATGATTTATTGTTATTAATTGATGAAAAAAAATTATTACTTAGGACACCAATATGGAGTAAACAGCTCATCGTAAGTCGCATTAGTGTATATGAAATCCACTGGTTGCCAAGGAAGCAGTGAATTCCACTTTTGCACATCAGCAGGTGGATAAAGTGCCGCGAGAACTAATTCTAAGCTCATCTTAGTCCTAACGACCGCAGCACTATGTGCATAGATATTTGGCTGATAGTACACATTTCCGAGAAAACTGTTGTATCTATTTCTTAATATCAATCCTAATTGATATGCTGTCCTCTTGCCAGCCTTAATGAACGTTATTAAAAAATATAAATAATAAGAAGAAAAATAAAATAAAATTTATTCTTAATTTCTCTTGCAAAGAGATAAAGATTTGTGACTAAAGCAATAATATCTTCCACACGAAAACAAAGAAATGAGAAAAAGCTCAATTTTTTCATTTTTACAGATGTGTTTATTTAGTCGCATTCGTCTTAATGAAAAATATTGTGTAAAAAATTGTCTTAACAGTAATTTTTGTTTCCCATAAATTATAAATATGTAACATATTTATTAACTGTGAAAAAGTTAAAAATGTAGCATGTAATATGTTATGTAATATATAAATAAGATATTTTACATTAGTTAATTGACCGTTGCCATCTGGGTAAAAG